AATTTGGAAGCCTACCAGTGCCTCAATCATTATAATAAAATAAATTCTAAATACCTATAAATTTTGGTATTTAATTTTGAGCTTATCATGGAAAATCAGAGCTCCCCCTGCCCCCTTAGCTCACAGAACACAGGTCCAGGGCCCTCACTCCTGAGCCACAGCCCCCCAGCCCTGTCAGTGCCCCTCGCTGTTCCCCACAGCACCCATGGCCCTGCTGATGCCTCTGACTTCCCACGCACAGCACTGCTTGTGCCCCTTGCCCCCCATCTCCAGCCCCTGCCCCCCCCAGCCCTACCAGAGGGGGGCTCCCAGCTGTCAGGGCTATGGGGCCAGGGACCCAGGTCTGCAGCCCCCTGCCCCCTGCAGCAGCACATGAGCCCTGGCTGCTGCCTACAGGAAATGGTAACTGCTGAAAACATAGCAGAGCACAGAGCCCAGCTCCCCCCTCCCTTGCCCCCCGGGCAGCATGGCTGGAGCGAACCCTGTGTGGGGCGGGGACAGGCTGCATGCTGTGGACTCAGGCTCCCTGCCCTGCTACCCTCCCCTGGGGCCTCTGCAGCCCAGTGGGTGGGACCCAGTATGGCAGGGCAAAGCGGGGCTAGGTGGGGAAGCTCCTTGCCATTGCAAGCCCCATGTTATCCTGGTGAGGCATTCCCTGCCCACCCAGAAGCAGTGGAGGCAGTGGCACATGCTTGTGTAGGCAGGGGGCACCTTGCCAGGGCAGTGCTGAGTTTGCAGCAGCAAGGAACTTCCCCATCTGGCCCTGCTGTGCTCTGCTGGGTCCCACCCGCTGGGTTGTAGAGACCCCAGGGGCGGCAGCAGGGTGGGGAGCCTGAGCCCGAAGCAAACAGCCCACACCCCTCCTCCCCACCCTGCGCACAGATCTGGGGGGGCACAGGTCCCTCTTGGCCCTCCAGGAGTGCACGCAGTGGTGGGGACCCGGCCTCATCCTCCCCACCCCCCGGATGAGATACCCACAGCCCCATCCTCCTCCCTGCTGGAGCCCTGTGGCTGCACAGTCCAGCCCAGGGCCCCAAGCCCCACTCACTGTCTGGCTGGGCAGCAGCCCCAGTCCTGCCCAACTCCTTCCCTCCCTCCCTACGGAGCCTCAATCCCTGCTCCCCCCTCCCCACCCCCAGACTTGCCTATGGGAACTGCTTTCCAGGCTGCTTGGTAACCATGTGCATATACATGCATATGGTGCCCCCTGCCTCACCATTGTCCTCCTGCTCCCCCCAAGCCCCTTGCAGGCTTGAACTCTACCAGCCTGCAGAGACCTCTTTGCAAAAGTGCAAAATTTGTGTTTCTCCATTAAAATGAAAAATCTGCATTTTTCTCAGGTAAAAGGGGAAATGCACAGTTTTCCCCATTTTTCTGTGGAAAACGGAAAATCCAGATCCCTGGTTATCAAAGTTTAAAATGTGATCTCAGGACTTTGTCCTTACACTTGCAAGGTATAGGGACATTAGATGAAGCACTGACAAGAAACAAATGGAAAAGGAGAGATCTCTTGCGTTACTGTTTGGCAGCCCTTTGATTAACCCAAGTGAGGAACTGCTACAGTGCAAGAGATTTTGAAGTTAAATAAAAGAAAATTCAGACAAGTTGTTTCAGAAGAGCCCTTGCCAAGACAGGGATAAAAAATCCTTATTGTAAAGTGATCAGTAATTAAGGATTTCACAGGCTAGTTTTAATTACCATCCTCATTTTCTTGATCTTTGAATTTTCACAAATCTCAACTGGCAGCTAACATTATTTTGTACCTACGCAACATTGATTACGTAGGTACATCAGGGCAGCTCAAGAATAAGATTGGTCTCAGTTTAGAATGTCCATCTCTTGTTGAATTCTCTCACCCTAAAGGTTCTATACTCTTTCTTTTATATTTCTCAAATGTTTTAAAATTAATTAGAGAGCTCATCATATCATCAGTAAAACACTTGACTGAATGCATGGAATTTGCTGTAGAATAATTTGAACTAAAAGGGCTTTCATTCTGTCTGTAGAGTGGCAGATTGATAAAAAATGTTGGGGGATTTACAGGTCTTAAATGAATGAAAAACTGTTTTGAATAAAGTATTGTTACAGGGAACATTACAGTTCAGTCCCGTTAAGTTTCCATCAGTTACAAGTGTTTTCTTGATCTCTTCTGTACATCCCCTGTGAAAACCACAGTCCCTCATATACTTCTTGAGTGTAGTTTGTTTATTAGGATATTCCAGTCTTTCAGGTTTCTCAAACACTAAGGTACTCGTTTTCCAGAACACCTAACTTTCTTACCCTTTGATATCTGTTTTTCCTCAGTTGTATTTTTTTGTCTCTGTCAAATGTCATTCAGTCAGTAAAACATAATATTCAGATGAGGACAATTCTAATTTGACAGCTTTTCATCAAAAGACTGGCAAAGAACAGAGATACAAGTCATTTCTTGCTTTATAGAGTAACTTAATAGGAAAACCAGATAATTCAGCTTTATGTAGCAGAGAAAATCAGAAGAACCCAAGTAGAGAGAAAATGTCACCACTAATACCACTAGCTAATAAAAGTGCAAACTACAAAAAATAAAAAAAACATATTGTGCTTTGCTCTTTCATATTAGCACAGATTTAATCAGCACTTATTGTATCCAGTGTAATTGTGGATTAAACTCTCTGCAGCCTTTTCGTATGGTAAATATAACAGTGCAAAGTATATGAATTTTTAATACCTTTTTTCAAAATCTTGTGAAAACCTGGTTGGCTATGAAAATTTAGAAGCCATAACTTGAAGCCATAAGCAAATTAACTAGAACAAGGGTAATACCTTTTGTATACAATCCAGACATGCTTTCAGAGTTCAGGGTGAATTCTTGAATTTATACTTCGGTACCTGGAAGTAATTCTCTACACTGAGCATAAATTTGCATGAGGAATATAGCTGGAGTTTTTTCTCATTTGTTCAGCAGCAGTTCCTTGGTTTCTTTATAATTTCCAAAAAGATTTAGAGCCATGTTATCCTAAACCAGTTCAGGGGAGAGGAAACCACAATATTTAACTTTCCCTAAGGGGTGGGATATGTCATGAACTACAACAAAAGGAGCTATGGATCCTAGAGAATCCTCCGGAAACGAGTGTTGTCTCTAGTAATTCTTGCCTGCCCCTGGTTTAGACATCTAGGAATTCACAAGGCAAAGCTGTTCTCTTGCTAATGGTTCCACTCAAGTTCAAGTACAGGTTAGCAGGATGAGAGCTACCCCAGAGCTGCTCTTCCTGGAACACCTGCTAAAGTCACAAATGCACGGGACAGGCTTATAGATTGTTAGGCTGTGTTTTGCACTGCTTCAATCTGTATGTAAGGTTTGTGAATCTGGAAGAAATCAGCTTGAAAAGAGCCTTTAATTATTGAGGTATCTGAGGAATTTAATGAGAAGAGATGGCCCAAAGTCTTGCAAACAGCTTAGTCTTCATACAGATATTCAGTTTGTCCTGGGAGAGTTGCTGCTTTCCCAGAAAAACCATGAGTGTACAGATGTTTAGGCTGTTTTCCTCCAGAGTAAAAATGTCTGCTCTAGGAGAAAAATAACCTGGGAACAACCAGAGTCGAATCACTCCTAGGGGAGTTTCTCCTGGCAAATTGAATGTACGTGCCGGGGGCTCTCTCAAAAGGCAGCCTAGTCCTCCAGCATCCTCCCTCCCTCCCTCTCTCCCTCCGCCCCTCCCTGGGAGACTGTGTATCACTCACTGGACTCCACTGCTCCATCAGGGAGCCAAACACACCTGCCTCAAAATCCCCACATTGTACTGCAGGGAAACACAGCCTGATCCTGGGTCTGCCAGTCAGAGGTGCTCTTTGCACTGCTGCCACTTTGTCACCAGGCAGACTAAGGGGGGGACAGAACAGGCTGAGATGTGTGCATAGGCCCTCACTACCTTCTCCCTGCCCCGTCTGCAGTGTCAGTACTGCAAGGTCTCCACTCTTCAGGGCGTCAGCATTCAAATGTTTCTACACTCAGCTCTGGGTAAGTTTCTCTACCAAGAGAACAAACCTGGGAGAAGTCTCCCAGTTTATTTGAAAGCGTGCATACGGCCTTAGTCTCCTGCACCATACAAGTTTCTCCCATTTAGGTCCATGTTCTGGGGGCTAGAAAAGAACAGGTAACCTAGGATTCATTTAGGTGCCTGTCTCTGTCAGTCTTTGGTGAGAGTTAGTGTACTTCTGAGTTTACTGGTACTGTTTGCAGTAGTGTTCAAATGTGCACCTTTTGGATTACATAGTGATTTCCTTAGAAACTTTTGAAAGGGATTGAGAGTATTAGTTTGGGGTTTGTTTTAAAGAAAGGAAGTTGTGTTTGGTTGTTCAAAGTTGTTTTTTTTTGCAATCCTGGTTGCAGCAAGAAGTCTGTCTGCACTCCCTATTTATCACCTTTTCCCCTCATTGTCCTTTTTTTTTCTTCCTTTTGCTCTGGAAATTATTTGACCCTCACTTTGTACATTTCCTTGTATTTCAGTGTTTATAGTTCACTATAAATTTAGACTTTGAATACTCAACAAATGAACCCCAGAGAAGTTGTTTTTCTCTCAACTGTGTTTAAAAGGAGGTCACAGCAGTGGTGGCCAGCATTCATATTCAGACTCATTTTGCTTGCTTTCAAGATCATAATTAAAGAGTAATCTCATTGTCTGTTTCTAATTCATATTAACTTTTCCTTGTTCCAATCATTTGTTTTGGTAAGTAACTGTAGAGGCATCTCTTTCCTTCCCCTCCTCTCCCAAATGCTATTGGGTAGTGGACTAACTAGTTGAAGTTTGAGGTGATCTGTTCCCTAACCCATCCTGTAAATATCGATGCTAACAACAGTGTCTTGTGTTTTTTTTTTTTTCT